CTTGCTAGCAAGCTTTCAATGACTACTTGAGTCCCAATTATATTTCCTTGGATTCTGGGGGTCTGGCCCTGATCCGGTAAGCAATAACACAGTCAGCTTGAAAGTGACTACTTACTCATTAAATCAACCATGTTTACATCATAGATTTCCCATCTTTCTGCTAACATCTAATTCCGACTACATTAATCTTGTCTATAATCTCTCACCCCCGCTCATAGCCAAAATAGCAATCATGATTCCTCGGGCGGATATCTAGATGGCAAGGAATTGGGGTTGGCAGAAGGGATAACATAGGCCTCTAATAGAATTCAGGAAAGCTATGGAACAAGTAACTAGGCCTCTCGAGAAAGCGGGGAATAAACACACATGTAGAGATTTACCTGGTTACGTGGGGGAAACAGATGGACTGAATTCTTGGATAAAGAAGACGTGAGGAAAGTGAATCCCTTGCGTACTGACCCATAGCTAGACAGCTAGAATTATTTGAGGATTATTCAGACCCTTCTACTTGACATAGCATTGTGCAAAAGTCCATCTGAATGAGATGTGAATAGTGCTGGCCAGACTGCATCACGGCAAGCGGACCAAGGTGCCGGCATATCCAAATAGAGTCAATGCGCCTAATGAATACACACATGTCGTGTCCATGTCGAAAGTTGGCAATACTCTTGAACCTCACTCATGCGTCGTGGTTGTGACGACCCACGCACGCACGCAAGCAAGCTAGCTAGCTATTGTGGTTATTCTAGTATGTCTCAAGGCTTCCATGGCAAAAACGAGATGCCCATAGAATTTGCTCGGCTGAATTCCTCACGAAGAATTTGCCACTGCTTCCTGCCTCTCAATTGAATCCTTTGGATCCCTTCATGACTCCTTTCAAGACAAGCTGGTACCCTTGCATTTATGGCATGGTGGCCTCATTCCCGAACGACAATTAGATGTCGTCCTCACGCATGCGCTGCATGAAAGCAAGGGGCCGGTGATGGAGTAGATTCTCGAGGTCTTTGTCGTCAGGCGAGATGGTCTGAAATGCGAATCATGGTGACGATGCCCGAGGTCCTCGCGATTCTGGCCGGACAATTGAGCAAAGGAGAGAAGACTAGGGAAAGCAGGCAAAATACCGCATCATTGCCTACCTGCGTGCCAGGACCGATTGGCATGGGATGAGGGGTACGGCGTGCGGCGTGCAATTGATATCCAGTGCGCACTTGGACATGGAAATTTCCCAAGTCCAAACTAGAGCCGGCGAGGCGACTCGCAAGCCCAGGTATTTGCTCGAAAGCCCAACCTGCAAAGCTTCCTTTGTGCGCACCCATCAATGAATTCTAGCATACTCATGCACATTCTCGCATGGGCCGAGGTCTAAGGGAATGGCGAAAACTACAGACACCCTACTCACCCTTTGCTATTCTAGAGAGCACAGCAACAGCCTGCGACGCCCTCGACAGCCATCTCACCGACCGGTGCTCTCGAATCTTGCCCAAAGCTGCAAGCAGGTCTACAAGGCACTGCGAGCGGCCTTGAATCTAATCTACGGCTCCGGAAACAAGCAACTTGACCTGCGCCTCAACCACCGCATTCGACTAGGGCAACGGCACAGGCGCCAGACTCGAGCTGTCATTTGCGTATATGGCCTGTAAAGCTAGGGATACAGTAGCAACGGGACTGGGTGGGAAGACTCATAGACGAACCAAGCAGTGGCAGTAGTGCAGGGAGAATGGGGAGAGCAAGTGGACGAGGACTTTCAACCCAGAAACCAGGCCCTACACGAGATGAGAAGATGCCATGACGAGGCCAATTTGGGACGGAAAATCGGGCTACAGCTAAGAACAGGAGGATTTGCCTATCGGCGCATTGACTGTGGGTCGCTGAACGGACCGACTTGGCACGATCCGACGCCTAAATTCTTTGGTGATCTGGTCACAGAGGTGGACCGAGGTTGATTCGGCTGTACATGCTAGTCAAAGGAATATGGGCCGGCGACACGCGTGTCGAGCTCCCCTGGCCCGTCGTTACTGGTAGACACTATAGCTGAGACTCCCTGGGTGTCTGAGGGTCGAGTAGTGGAAGCTTTAGTTCCGCTCAAAGGATAGATTGGTTGGGTGGCTATGACTACCGCCCCTACTCCCATGACTCGGCAGAAGCAGACGGTCGTGATGTGAGTAATTTAGGGGACATGTTCTGGCTAGGACATTACCACTTAGAGTCCAAGATTACGAGAGATATTTGGGTACTCTGAGCCTAGAGGCCAAGGACACGTATGACTCTGGTGTGTGTATATTCGGCCTCTCTGCCGCAGACTTGAGAGAATAGGAGGCCTTGCATTGGTCGCAGCGTGTGGCCAGCAAAGACCCTTCACAGATGCATGACTGTGGCATATCTCTGACATGAATACTACGACGGAATGCAAAGGCAAAGCTATCCTTCAGTCGCACTGGGACCCAGCAGGCCGGACATGGCCGAGGCCAAACATCTTGGCAAGTGCATGAGGCCAATGACCATTAATGCATTATGGGCCATTGGACGTGAGGAGAGTAGTTTTCTATATTCAGCCAGGTGTTGGTGGTAGGTAATAAGAAGCTGGTGTGCAGGTGGAGTGAGCACCGTGATGGATGAGACGCTTGTGCACTGTCTATGATGAGCAGGCGGCACCATGATGCGTGTTTGCTTGCGAGACGGGCGACTGACGTCGGAGATGGACGACCCAAGGGAAGCTTGGCTATGCGAGCATCCTTTCGTCATTCCTAGTAGGAGCGGGCAGATAATGTCTAGTGTTGGGTGGTATAGGGGAAACGAGGCCATGCAAATACTCCCTGCCTGATCAGCGCCGGCGACGTACCACTGCACCATCCGACCAGCCGGGTGTGGGGGAGTCGAGGCTGCATGGACGAGGCCAATACGGGCCGGCGCCAAGCTGATTCACCAAACCACCGACGGCGCGAGATGGGCGTAGAGACCATGCGTCTTGCCGCCCTATTGCGGCTTCTGGGAGGGGATTCGGCGAGGCAAGTAGCATGGCGACGTGACATTGTCGAGGCCTTCACATCGTGACTTGGGATCAGGAGACGGGTGTGGATGGATCAGGGCTTGGGGTGGACAACGATGGAATACAGGGGGCATGAGGTGCTGGACAGTATGAGCATCATTGTTAGTGCCCTTTATCGGTGTACGTAGAGGCCAGCGCACTGTCGGCGACAGAGGCTTTAACGCCGCCGGCCCTTGGGCTTAGCCGGGGAGGAGACGATGAGCCGGCCGGCCGACAACATGGCTGCGTCGGGCGATGGAGCACACGTGGGTCCTGACTCGATGGCGCGCCGCAGACTATCCGGTTACCAGAGGAGAGTGAGGCATGGACGAGAGGATTCAGAAATGCTGTGCTGGTGGAGGTGGTAGTGGTGGCGCTGGCGCTGGCGCTGGCAATGAAACGAAACGGAGCCGCTCGAATAGGCCAGCTGGCCTGCCGGCTCCGTGGACCCCGCCTTTACTGGGCCGGATGTGCGCACGGCCAGGACAGCCGTTCGTCTCGGAAGCAGCGCTGGGGCCGCATGCCACTGAAACCGCGAGGTTGCCGTCGAATGGTGTGGAGGGACGAGACGCGGAAGCTGCCCCTGCGTCTAGGGCAGCAGCAGCAGCACAGCACAGCACAACCATCACCACCACCACCACCGCTTGGCCGCCTCTCATCCTCATCCTCCTGCACCAAGGCTCACGCGACGCCGCCACTGGCCAGCTTTCAAGCGTCGATCCGTTGGCTCGCACTCGCCGGTCGTCCGTTCGCCGACATCCAGGGCCGTGGACGGAAGATGAGGCCTGCTGAGAGTCGAGGGAAGCTGGGGAACGCAGACCCTCGCTTCCGCCAAATCGCCAGTCTTCCCCGCCCGCCCCAAGCCGTAGCTTGCCACGCCCTCCATCCCTCGCCCTGAACGCCTCGCAGCCGCCGCCGCCCGTCGACTGCTGCATTCCACGGCGACCAGCCACCCCTATTTTCGCCCTCTAACCGCCCTCACTGCCCTCGACTCGTGTCAAGACCATCGCACGCCTCTAATCCACTGGCCTCCCACCACGACCCGGATGCCGCGGGGCCTCCTCTGCGCCCACGCCCAGACATGCACGCGTGGTGGATGGGTCCCGAAGACCGTGTGCCCTGCACTCGGCGATCGCGAGCCTTCCTCGCATGGCCATTGTCGTCTATTTGTTCCTACCCGCCCCACCCATCGAGGGTCCGCGCCAGGCAATCAGGCCGCCACATCTGCTAACCATCTATTCGCCCCTCGCAGCGCCTGCCCTGCGCCCCGCCCCCTATTGCCCTGTTTGCCGTCCCCATCATTCACTCCTCATCGCCATGGCCAACATTTCCCTCGCCATCGTAGCCATCGTCACCACTCATTCACTTCGCCACCCCCCTGCATCCATCTTCTTCAGTTCGTCCATTCCTGCGCCCCACCACCGCCCTAGGGCTCCAGCCGATCAAACGATGGCGTACCCACAGATCCTGTCTGACTATCGCTGCACAAAAGCCACTACCACTCACCCCTGCCCTTCTCCAAGGCTGTAGGCCATGCAGGGGTCCCTTCAAGAAACCAGTTGCCCTCCTCCTCCTCCGATGTACCCCTCCCCCATTCACATAAAGATGACTCCGTTCCCTCTCTTTAGGCAACAGGACTGGATATCCACGACATCAATCTTCGCTGCTTTGATTCTCCTTCTGACTTGCTCTGTCCCTTCATCATTCGTCCGCATTCGCAAGGCTAGTCCTTCTACCATTCCCTCACTCCTTGTTTATCACGCCGGCGCTCCTTGAGATATTTCAAATTTGCCCGACGGCTCACTTATCGCACCCATCAGACAATACTTTGTAAGCGACTCACCCAAATTCTCCTTGTCAAGTCTAACTTGACGTAGACTTGTCCCCCTCGGCTCAACGCTCTCGCGAAATTCAAACTGTCTGGTACAAACACACATCGTTTTCGACCCCACATCACATTTCATCCTTTTACATCATGCACGCTCTCTCTACCCTCGCCATCTTTGGCCTCTCATATGTTACTCAGGCCCACATGATCATGAGAGAGCCGACTCCTTTCGGCGCTTCCAAGCTAGCAAGCGACAATGGACCTCTCAAACCAGACGGATCAGACTACCCCTGCAAGGTTGGTTATGACGCAGAGGGTGCAAGCAACAGCATGCCCCTTGGCTCAATGCAACAACTAGCGTTCACCGGAGGTGCCACCCACGGTGGTGGCTCATGCCAGGTCTCCATAACTTACGACGAAGCACCAAATTCAAAAAGCACCTTTAAAGTCATTCATTCAATCATGGGCGGCTGCCCAGCTCGCAATACTGCTGGGAACATAGGAGAAAGTTCCACATTCCTAGACCCTGACACCTACGCATTCAAAATCCCTGAAAATTTGCCTCCCGGAAACGCCGTCCTAGCCTGGACCTGGTTCAACAAAGTTGGCAACCGTGAGATGTACATGAATTGCGCTCCAGTAAAATTGGTAGGCTCTGCCAATAAGAGCGTCAAGGAATCAAACGGTACTCGAGTCGATGAGAAGGTTGCCGCTGCCTACGACTCACTCCCAGACATGTTCGTCGCAAACATTGGCAATGGCTGCACTACCAAGGACAACACTGACCTTCAGTTTACCGACCCTGGAGAGAATGTCGAGGTCATTGCTAGCAACGCTCTCGCCGGACCAGTGGGAAACTGCGCCAGGTCCTCCAACACACCAGTCAAGATTAGTCCCGATGCCAAACCGGCCCCCAAGTCGGACCCAAAGCCAGAACTCAAACCGGCCCCCAAGCCAGACACCAAATCGGACCCTAAGCCAGAACCCAAACCGGCCCCAGAACCAGACACCAAACCTGACCCTGAATCTGACGACCAGCCCGAACCTGAGTCAGATGATCGTTCAGACTCGAAGTCCAGCTCAAAGTCGGATCCAAAGCCAGGCGCCTTTTTCTCAACATCTCAGACTTCGCCTGCAAAGGCACACCCAGAACCAGCCACCTCTCCAGCCAAAACCTCATCGGCTAGCAACACTGGTGATGACTATGAGGAAGAACATACCGCCAGCTCCGCCTCAGTGGCCGAAAGTTCCAGTTCAAGCGCAACCAAAAAACCATCAACTGACTTCACACCGTCTAAAGGCTCCCAAGGCAGTGTCTCCAACTCGTCCAATGCGACACGCGTCGGTTCTGCCTGTGAAACTGAGGGGAAGTGGAATTGCATCGACGAAAAGTCTTACCAACAGTGCGCAAGCGGTACTTGGTCAGTTGTTATGCCCTTGGCTGCTGGAACCATGTGCGAAAAGGGCGTCAGTGATGCTATCAAGGTCAACGCAATAAAATCGCGCAACATTAGATTTTCCACATCTCACCTACGGCGTCATCTTGGTGGCTCGAGAAACTTTTGATAACTCTTGCTGGTCACGACGTAATCAAATTATGAGAATATTGGGGAACTGCAAAGGGAATGGAGTTGAGCAGGTTATGTTACTTTTCTTGTACATATTTAAGATCATGGCCTTGTAGAATAGTCGACCTGGCTAGGCCGTCTAGCAACCTAGACAATAAACATGAGCAATGAACAACAAAATTTGGTAAAACTATCTCTGATACTAGACATAAGGTGGGTTTGGCAAATTTCGATACTAAAAATATGTTGTTATAAAATGTGAATTTGCCTTCTGAATCTTCTCCCCTTGAGATTACACGTGTAGACGGTATGTCTCACCCTTGCATAGAATCTTGTAGTGGGAGTATCTATCACGAATCAATTTCTAGATAGGTGGCTTAATTTCAAACGTATCATGCAGGGGAACATTGAGGTGGTAACATGTACGAGTCATGTGCATAATTAGGACTGAAGGAATAGGAGAGCAGACAGTGACCGCTCGCATGTCGTGCTTCTTCTACATAGACATGACTGGATATCGATAAGCGCAGTATCAAGGCTTGGACTTGGGTGTAGTGACAATGTTTGCCTTGACAAGAGCATCGCGGGCGACGGCATTAATGAGCGTGAAGCGCCGCGGGCCAAGATGATGGCCACCATACCAGCGCGAGACCACAACCATGACATTCCAGACATCCATGCGCTGTAACAAATGCAGGAGGCGTGCACCCGCTGCCGTCTCGCCATCATCATCGTAGTCTTGATAAGTGACCGTAGCGTCGCGGCGGATGCGCCAGGCCGTAATGTTGTGCGTCGCCGCCTGTACCTTTTTCTCGTGGTCGACGAGGTGCTGGACGAAGGCCTGAGCCATCTGTGGCGAGTTGACGCGCGTGCAACGAGCGATGAAGACGGATTTGAGCTCGCGCATGACATCGGATACGCTCCAGCTTGGTGTTGGCATCCCTGAGGTCGCCTCGATGCCCTGGTTGGAGTTGGCAGGAGCAACTAGCTCGTCGCATTGGAATGGCGACGGCTGCCTCGATCGAATTCCCTCGAGCACATCCTCTACTACATCAAAGAGACAGACTTCGTTGACTTGGTGAAGCCTCTGAATCGCCTGTCGAAATCTCATGACGATCTCGGCCGCCTCGCCTTTGCGCGCTTCTGCGCCCACGCCATGGCTGCCGAGGACGTTCGGTGCAACTTCCGGATAGGTCGGTGGAAAGTAGATGCGTAGCGAGGCTGGCGCAGTCGCAAGGGCGAGGATGTAGACGTGAGAGCTATCGGCCGTAACGAGGGTACCGGGCCCGTAGATGGCATTGATGGCCGCGATCTCATTCTCGAGTGCTTCTGTCATGGTGACGGTTATGCTCAGACAATGTGAATGGTTTGTAGGCAGCTGAGGGTAGTGCGGGCCCTGCGCTGAAGAAATAGAATGAGGGAGCCAAACATTCACGTCCTCACCCACCAAGCGAGACTTCCCGGCAGCCTGGAGTGAATAGTCCCTATTGAGGCAGGATAGCTAGCGTCGGAAGTTCCCGGCATCCAACTACAGCATCACGTGTCGTCATGGTGTCTGCTTTCGTCTAGATTGTCATGCCGTAAGTGAGACGTTCCTCTTGAGTCTGCTTGGACTATTTTACCTACCCGCCATCCAACGCACCGCCAAAGCGCAATGTTTAGCCCTAGGAAGGGATGGTTCCGTGAGTTGGTACGATAGACACACACTAAGGGAAAGGATGGACCGACGGCTACGCAAGTTTGACGAATCAATCAAGCGCCCTGCTGGCCGGAGAGATGCGCAAGATATGTGGTTCATCATAGCAACACGGCCCAAGTTTCACATACCCTGCGCCTATCTGATGGGCGCAGAGACCTCTATCACTATCGGGGAGTGAGTGATCTCTATCGCAACCCTTGTCGCGGCGGTCCATGGCAGCATCTAAAATTAGCAAAAGATTATCGCCTCTGTCTCTCGAACTTTGCTCAAGTACTAGATGTGTAGCTACCTCGACACCCGCATTCCTTGCGAAAAGGATACACGTTGACCGGATAGATGGCCTCCTCGAAAGCGTCTGCCATCTAACATCACCCTCAGTCAACACAGCACAAGCTGAGAAACGGGTCTGGTGAACATGCAAAAAATCTGCTCGTCACCCCACGTCATGTATCACCGTAGACCAACTTGAAACATGCGAGACTGCCACCGTCCAAGGTGCCAGGCCGACGCTTGATTTCCAGAAACAAAGGCGCCCAAGGTCGATCGAGGTCCCTAGCTTGTGTAATTATTCGGCTAACGTGGAGCCTGAATAGCCCGATCTGCTAGACAACATTCAACCTGGAATCTGGCGTTACAACTATCGCCAACGCCGCTTCCAAGGCCGAGATCTCCGATTCTCTCACTAGCGTAACCAAGATGATGATCAATACCTCACAAAATCTTGATGAACTTTGGCTTTGTACATCGCTACATGGTCCGGTTTTTTGAATCGCATAACATCCAGCAATCCAGATTGAATATCATGCCTCTTAAACAGGATACGTACAACTATAAAGATATCTTCGACTTTCTAGAGCTATTTCCTGGTAGAGGACTTCAGGGTCGTCAGGGTAGCTTTAGCTGCTTCGGTTGAGACAGAAAAGTCTACCGGGCTCACACCAGTGGCTATTAAAACCCATCGATCAGCTCACAACTCTGATTTAGTACACCGGCATAGATCAAAGGTTCCTTCGCTTCTCGCCGAGTCGGATGGTCACGGTTGAGGCTTGGGTGTAAGTCCTGCTCACCTAGATAGTTATGCGAGCGAACGGGATCAGTTTACAGAAACTTTGTGATATTATTACATGCTCGTTGAATTCCGGGCTTGCAAATTGCACGTCAACGATCCAAAAGAGTCAAATTTAGAACAGAGCTAGCTCAACACCCTGAAAATTCCAAGGCAAAGGGTGATCTTTATTCAACGCCTGTTTCCGGCGTTCCCTATGAAACTCCAGCTCTCACTGTAGAGCTTGAAGAGGCAAGATTGAGTAAGGTTCTCACTGCGATGAGGATTCCCCATCGCTTTCGCAAACTATTTTTTCTTCATCTCTCAACACATCCTCTTAGTAACATTATCAAAAAGCCAACTATGGTCAGTTCGGGTTGTAAGGTCGAAGCCCTACTCATAACCCACTTTTGGTCACGGAGGAGAAGCCATCCGATAGGTTCCGGAGTATACCCAGCTCTCATACCATGGTAGTGGACTAGGTCAAGTTATAATGGCGATAACCACATCTCGCCCAGCCGGATTACAAGTATTTGAGAAGCTTTCCTGCACACGCAATAGTAATGGCTGCTTTTTCTGCGTAAAAGTTCCGTAGGATAAGAGGCTCTATTCTACGCGAAATACCGAGCCGAATGGCTGCCACCACGGCCATCAGATCAGAGATCATTCCTCGTGCCAAGCGATGCTTGGAGCACTGCACGAGGTACAGGTCAATGTACTAGATGCTCATCGACTCGAGCAGCACCTTATCTCCAATCTAGGGACAATGCGCTCTTCCAAGAGCTCGCTCAGCGCTGGACCAGCAACGCGGGCGAGAGAATGATTCGCCGCTTCTCGTTTGGTGCGGCGAGGTGCTCTAAAATCTCATTTGGCTCGGCCAAGGGGTGACGGCAGGCCGCCCTTCGCACGCAACGCATCAACCCCACACTCTCACTTCATCTAGCTCGCTGTTCCGCCGTCATTGTTCGCACGCTAAGTGTGTGCCGATTCATTCACGCTGAAACCACATGGGATGAGGCTTAGGCTGCGCCGAGACGCACTCGCGAGTCGTGCCGTCGCCATCAGACGTATATTATCGCTCGCGCCATCTTGTTGCAGTGCCTCGCCTTCTGTTCCTTCTCCATGATGTCTTTTTTCATATGGCCTATAACTACTTGAGCTCGGGATTCGGGCCCATACTACTACTCAGTGCCTGTTCCATCTTGGCATTCACATGGATATTCTCGCTCATTCGCATATTCGTTCGCATTCACATCCTCCAGCTCTGGAGAATCGAAGATTGGCTCTTCCTCATAAGCCTAGTCGGTGCTCATCTACCCTCAGCCTAACATCCTGATTACTAACCTTACGAGGTCTCTTTCACTCTGCTCGTTGTCGCAACGATTGTCAGTGTGCTGTACGGCAATGGGCAACTCATTCGTGATATCCGCCCAAGGGATATTTCTAGTGCTGTACAGGCAAGTACCCAACCATCTATTGTCTCCTTTTTATTAACCTTTAGTCAGTCATGGATTTACACCCGAATTCTCTACACTGAAACCACAATCTTTACACGTTTATCCGTAGCTTGTTTCCTCCTTCAGCTTGCACCGCGAAACAGAAGGTACCGGCTCACCATCATTTACACTCTCGTGTTTGCCACTTCCGCCGGTACCCTATTGCTTCTTGCAAACATCTTCCCATGCATTCCAGATTTCCACATTCCAGGGAAATCCGAGGCGACGCAATCAGCTGGGTTATGCATACCTTTACGCCTGTTCCCTCTCCTTACCGTCATTCACGCTAGTATTGGGACCGTAGCAGATATCATACTGGCCCTTTTACCTACTGCTATTGTCTACCACCTTCCCATATCCCTTCAACAAAAGATTACCATCTGTGTGCTTCTAGGCCTTGGCCTTTTAGCTGGTCTGACGAACCTGGTGCGTATAGCCTGTATTCTTTCAGCTGCCACAGATGCTGAGATTTTGTATGCTTCGACCTACGTGACGCTATGGAATATGGTTGAGCCAGCAACGGCCGTTGTCTGCCTCAGTCTCAGTGTCTTTCGTCCACTATTTCATCATAGAGGAAGTGTTGAGACGGAAGTTAGTGGCAAAGACTTGAAAGATAAAGATCCGGAGAGTCTTGTGATTCCCCCATCATGTTTAGCTTCTCATCCTGCGTAGGACTCTTAAACCGTCTAAGGCTCTATGCCGTTTCCCTACTCCAGGCCAGAATTTGTCTACCAAAATTAGAAACAAATCTTTAAATTCAAGATTTAACACGGAAGCGGATAACTTAGATCACATGCAACTCGGTTAGCCCAAAGCATAGAATTTCAAAGAAGGATAACAAGTCAGTCACTCAGAAGGGAGTGGCCTATTAAAATTTTATGTGCTACATCGCAATAATTTTTGCCACACGCCGCCATTTAACAATTTTCCAATACTAAAAGTGCTGACGAGAATTGAATCAATACAGTAGATCATCACACACGTTTGAACCATATGAGTATTGGCGATTAAAAGAGTGTATCTAATTCTTGTATACTTTTTAATTGCTATGAGAACCCATAGATGGAGATGAGCCTGTTCGTCGTCCAAAGCGGGACATTTATATTTTATTACATTAGGGATAAAGTGTAAAAGGTTCAGCAATGACACATAAAAGTTTGATCAGACGTTTTAAGCGTACGACATAATTTAGGAGACATTGTAAGTTAATTGGTGGAGCTTATAGCTGAATCGGTATGCTGACGAATAAGGGTTTGGGACGTTTAGCTCCAAGAATTTAGTACCCTAGTAATCGTTACTAATGCATACTACCAAACGTCTCATGCTAGACGTTTGATGGCCTCGACTTACAGAATCCACATCCTTTTGAACCGGCTCATTTACTCAGAAATACTCTGCCCTTTACGCAGAACTCAAAACATCAGGCCTTGCTGGGAAAGATCTAGAAATACCTATGCCATATGGAATGTATTAAGTTGTACAGACTTATCTTAGGATGTTGCGAAGCCATATCTGACACTTGCGACGCCCGGAATCTGCAAGGCTAGTGAGCTAGAAAGAGGGTTATAGACGCTAAATTATCGCCACAGTTTTTAAGGGCCAGCATGGTTAATGGCAGAGCCATTTTTTAGAAAACTAGGGTCCATTACCTAGTGTGCTGGGGAAAGGAAGCTAGTCCAAGTCTCATAAATGTTTGGCAGATTTTGGCTACAAATTTCTTGTAATCCAATGAAAGCTAGGTTGTCGTTTGGAGGTTTGTAATTGTTCACGAAAAGGTACAAGGGGGATGCCAGTTTGTAGCCAATCTGTTTTATAGAAGCCCTTGCTCTGCAGATGGCAGTCCTGAATGCGACTAATTATCAACCCAGTCTTTCTATTCCAAGGAATACTAAAACTTTCTAGGGTGAAGCTGCCCTGCCAAGCATGGTAAGTAATTGTATACTGTGATTTGAAACTTTTGCTGTAGATTTGTGATCGCGGGTTACAAAATAAAATAGGCCATGTATTTGTGTTTTTGGACATATATGTCGTTAGGATTATCAACATAGTTTTGGAATTAGTAATTTATTCTAACCGCGCCTACGGGTACTTGGGCCCTGGCTTTTTTGGGTCGCTTTAGGTTGTTTAGCTGCTAAATTTGTGGTTGGTTTATCTTTTATCTTTCTTGGCTCCCTATTAAGTACATTCCAATAGTATAACATCTGTGCTGCGAGAACGGCGTTGAGGGAAGCCCCAGCAAGAAAGCTGTATAGAATCAACTTGTCATCAACCTCTTGCAGCGTAGTAAACACGCGAGCAAGAGATCCTAGGAGAAAGTTAAAGACCTGGGCATGATAATTAGTGTGAGAAATTAAGAAAAAAAATCAAACTTGCCGCAAATGCACTCAGCTGCCCAGTCCCACCTTGCTTCCAAATTGTCCAAATCTGCGGAAATTTGCCAAAAACTCCGAGGAGGCCAGCAATAACCTGAAGGTAGCTAAGTAGCTTTAGGTCGAAAAAACTCGGCTCTAGTAACATGGCAGTGCTGAATGCTAAAGCGGATATAAAGGTGGCCGCCGCACTCGAGTTTCCACTGTAGTGAAGAACTAGAGCCGAAATAACTATATTTTGGAGCAAAATTAGGCTAGTTTCTCCATACGTACTGAAGGGAAATCCATTCCGAATATTATAGGCTAAAGATATGAGATATGATGAGGTTTCGAGCAAATAAGAGAGGAAAGATATTCCAGCTGCTGATCGTGATTTGACCAACTTTAATATCTGTGGTACCTTGACTATAGATGAGGCCCCGATGATACCAATTCCTAATGCTTTAGAAATGACTAGCTTCAGGCACTCTGTAGATTCGAGATTGATATCGAGGACAAGTCTTTGGTAGCATTCGTCACCTATTGTAGAAATGGCTATGTTTTGAATCGGTAATGGTATTTTGCGGGTGATTAGTAGAAGGAGGCTCCGCACAGCATCCATTTTCATAATTTTCTGATGACAGAAGGTTCTTAGATCGTTAGGGAGGGTGTTAAGAAGTGATAGTTGTACCTTATGGGAGGGTAAATCGCATCTGTGAATCACTTTCGGGTATCAGAAGCAGCGTAGTGCACTGGGATACCACGTGGGATGGCTCCATGGAAACCATCAACGGTAACTAGTCATTCACCTTCCCCACTGACAATAATGAGCTAAATTGGAAATATCTCGCGCACTTTTTTGATCAAAGGGATGATAGAGACATGCTTGGACATAAAATCCTGATGATCTTTCTTCAATGGCAAGTACGTGATAGGTCAAGGACGTGATCCTACCACGTATCTAGTGGTAGATATTGAACGAATTAGGTTCAAAAATCACCATTAAGTTTTAAACATTTTTTAGATAGCTTTAGCAGTCCTACATATTCATGGGCTCAAAATGGGCGTAATCGGAATTCAGTTCAACTTAATGTGTAGCATATGTGCGGAGACAACGCCTTTCATTTAAAAAGATGTCCGATATCAATGGGAATATCCTCTCGAAATTATGGGGTCACATAATAATAGTAACAGTAATAATAATTCATTGATTTTGGGCAAGGAAAGATTCCGGAGATAAACAAAGGTTCTCCCAAATATTAGAAATGGATGATACTGACGGAACTATCCATACCGAAACCCTAGAAATAGTGAATGACTTTGTTTATTGTACTACTTGAGTCTATGACTATCTAGCACATTGGGCTCCACTCTGACCCAGGCCACACCTTGTACAATGCTACTATCCTCTTTTGTTACTTGAAAGATCATTGATATATTGCCGTTGATGAATAGCCATTCAGCTTAGTATTTACCCGTGGAATTCGGCCACCTTTTCCACGGAACCTCCTACCCAACAAAAAGAAAAAAGGTAGCAAGAGAAACTGCGTGCGCGGGAAAAAGTCTCAAAAAACTTGCAGCCCCAGCCAAGCGAGGCCTAGACACCAGGACCATATGAGGTGCGCATATTCATGTATATCTCTCTTCTTTATAACAGTCGAGATCGACTTGATCCAATCCGCCATCTCCGTATCGGGTGCTGGGTACGCTCCGGAAACTCATCGGATGGCTTTTCCTCCGTGGTAGAGGTGATAGGGGAATGTGTCGAGAGATGAAGACGGTACAGACGGCGAAAGCGATGGGGAATACTCATGGAAGTGAGGACTTTGTTGCTCAATCTCGGCTCTGCAGGCTCTACAATGAGAGCTGGAAGTTCGTGGGGGACACCAACGCGGTTGTTGAGAATAGTCCCCAAATCCCGGAGATAGCACCAGTTATCGCAGAAAATTTCCTCCCGTACCCAAGGCTGCAAATTTTACAGATATTACAAAAACTTTCTGTACCGAGGAATTGGATGGCATCGCCTACACCATTACTCGTACCGAAGTAGAAGAAACACTCGGAAAGCTACCGGGAGATAAGGCTCCAGATCCAGATGGAATCTCAACCCGACTTCTCAAGAAGCGTAAAGATATTCTTAGTAAAGATCTCGTAGAACTTTTTATTGCTTGCATCTCAGTTTGGTATCACACGAAGGGACTCAAAGAATCGTTGAAAATTGTCTTAAGAAGGCACAGAAGCCTAGATATGACACACCGAAATTTAATCGACCGGAAGTACTTCTCAATATAGTGGTTAAGCTTCTTGAAGAACCAGTAGCCAACTGGATATCAAGGCCGCCGAAAACCTTAATTTCCTCCCAGATGAATAGATGAGTACTCGACCCAATAGGTCCACGATCTCGACAGTAGAGCTTCTCACCGAGCAAATTCACAACATCAGCGATAGAGATAAAAACCAAGTCGCTTCGATTCTCAGTCTCGATATATCAGGAGCTATCGACAATGTCTCCCATGAAAGGCTTATCCACAACCTAAAAGAAAGGGGGATCCCAAGGTGGATGAGCCGATTCGTAGAATTATTTCTCGAAGAATAAATTACTGTTGGACTATTTAGGAAATTGGAGTAGAAGGTAACAAATAATCGAAGGGTTACATCTCTATTCTCTGGCTATCGAGTATCTAAAATACACAGTTTTCCTCATTTAAAACCTTACTAGATGACTCGCTGGCAACAATGCTATCACCAAAACATACTAGAACCTGCTCGGGATAGATAACATTAGTTTATCATCGGAAACATAATTATGAACTGAATTCAAAGTATAAGTCATGTAAAATCCGAACAAAAAGATATTTTCCTTGATACACATCACGCATCAGTATTGTCGGAATATTTCCTATGGATTCTTTGTTTGAGGTAACTCAATAACAATTGTTTCATTCATTCGTATCTATCTTCATTTGTGACGGAGCGCCAGGGCCTTAATGACCTTGAACACTCGTCACATGATATATGCTTACACAGCTATTACTAATTATTACCCATTTGTCATTACATCTTCATGATCATTATTGCCACCCAAACTCCAGCATCCTTGTTTAATACACATCCAAATAAAACTTGTGTCCTACTATTCGACAACTTTAAACTTCTCCGACCCAAGTCGTGTTATGAGTCAATTCGGGTAAACCTAGAACGACCGTAGCTCAACAACTTCCTTCGTAAATCTTATGATTTATATAGGAAAACAAATCCCTACTAGTATAGGAATACCACAAGACTCATCTCTATCACCGATTCTACTCCTATTTTTTGTCAGCACGCTGTTACCGACACTACAAACTTCTTCTACTTCGGGAATTGGATTCGTTGACGATACTAAGATGCTGAAGTGGTTGAGTACAACTAGAGAAAACTGTAAGAAATTAGAGGCACTATACAAGTTCTGCGAGGCAAGGGCAGCAAAGAACGGCGTAAATTTTGCGCAAGAGAAGTACGGATTCATGCATTTCACACCAGATAGGAAGAGACTGTTATAGGCTGCACTTATCTCCTAGTGACTGTCGCATGGTCACTTATTATTATTACTTCATTAGCCTTGCTATCTAAAGAGATGTCAAACTTGGCCATACAAATACAGGGTTGCAACAAATATCGGAACAAGATATTATTGCAGCAAGTCTGATATGGAATTATGAGCCGACACGACCCAGACTCTCTATAACGAGCCTACTCAGAATATCAAGGATATGGTGTAGTAGAACAGATAGTGAGGTTAGCGCATTGGGAGTTGGGACACCTTAAGTAGCCTCCCCACAGTGGACAGTTCCGAGATGTATGTAGAAAATAGATAGTAATCGGCCACCATTCCTTTACTATATTGTTTTGTTGATCGCCCATCACAGAGACTCAACCTAGAAACAACTGTCAGCATCCAAGGACATCTGAATTCTCTACAGCCTTTCCTCCGAGTCCTTGGAATCTATTTCGATCCTAAGCTTCAATGGAGGCCTCATATAAAGCATATCTAACAAAAGTCACATACCCAAGTACGTTAAATGAGTAGATTGAAGTAGTCATCTTGGGGTGCAATATTCAAGAAATCGAAACTTTTGTATAGCACATTAGTAAGACCAGCTATGACTTACGGGTATCCTATATGGCCTGCAGCGAGGCCAGCAGATAGTATACTAGAAAGGATAGTGAAACTACTATGATGTATCCAAAGAAAGTGCTTGAAGCTAGTAACAGGTGCATATAACTCTATGTTGGAAATCTAGACTCATTATGTATGAAGGTTTAGATTTCTAGGTATGATCATCAAGATCAGTTAGATTGATTCGATTACATATGAATAAGCTTAGCTGGGAGACATGAGGCTCTGTGCTATCTGAAATGCAGTGGCTAGAAAATGCTACCTTGCGATAATTGAGTGGCTGGTTGTTGCTAGATCACTGGAAGTTCGGGATCAGTAAAGCCTTGGGAATCTGTATTTAAGGATAGACTTATTTGTATATGTCAACCCAAGTTAACCGAGTATTACATATTATTAATTCATATTGAGAAGAGAGTTCGATATCCTATACAACTATCAATAAATTCTTGTCCGAAATTGTACACTTATTCTTCGAGATATTTCCTCCTAGAAATCCTTGACAATTTCTAGCACTCTACCACCAGCAGGGTACTAGAACATGAATCTTCGATTCTCATAGATATCTAGCTAAAACAAAGGAGATTCCAATACGTCGGACTTTTAGAAGGACCAGTAGTCAAGAGAACGATACTATCCGTGTGCAGTCAAGTCAAGCAGACCGCAAGGGAAACTTAGAATAGGCACACCAAAAATAGAAAGCTCGAAATTGAAGAGTGGACCAGAATTTGTGGCATTGGGAATGCGAAAGGTAGACAAAAAGATGCCGGTAAGCTGGCAGCGTTCCAGGAGTTGAAAAACTTATGGACACGTCAAGGGAATGAGAAACTATATGGTCATAGAGCGTCTGCAGCCCTAAACTTTGGAAAACCGCAAAAATCGTCACAGACAAGACAACAGGCAGATAATGGATCATCTATAGTAATACATCCTCAAGTAGCCACCGGAACCTTAGCAGGGCCCAAAGCAGTATTGCAGTACAGATAAGAAGTGAAAATATCGGTCTCAATTCTTATCTATATCAAAGTAAAGTCCCTGGAGCGGTTAATCCAAATTACCAGTGTGGGTATTGTTGAGACTTAATATATACATTATGATTACGGGGTAAATAATATATGGGTCACATATTTACCTGATTGTTAGTGGTCACCAGTTGGGCAGGAAATCTGCATGACATGTTGTGTTATGGAAGATCAAGGTCACGTGATTGTGGCCTTCGGACAGTAAAAAGGAGGCAGGAAGACAGATCACTGGCTCCGTTCAGGACACGAGTAGAAGATATTAGTATTGGCTCTACAGAGCTGGATCACTCGTGGACTATGAATGGTGTATATATGACTGGATATGTGTATTGTAATTTTGTTAAGTCTTTATTAGTATAACAATTGTTATTTTATTCCAACAGGTATACGTCACAGAATATTAAACGTGTGGTCTTGGTATGTCCTCAGCGAGCAAGGGGAAGA